AAGATGAGTATGTGGATGATTGTTCCATGGTCAAAACATACGTCATTAAGAAAGCTGATTTCGCGTAACGATGCAAATAATGCCAAGTTTTATAATAAACCATTTTACATCAAAATGGACGGCAAAAAATTCAACAAAAAAAGTGTACACATGATTATTTAATGAGGTTACGCCACTGACGCATTCATCACATCGTTTTTTACAAAACCCATCCGACCTATGTTACGTCCACATGTTATTGAATCCATTTCAGGCCACAAAAACGAATTAATTGCTTTTTACTTTACTCTAGAACGTTTTGTTTTGTTTTGTTGGCGGCGAACTTCGACGCGGCGGCGGCAGCGGCATTCAAATGCAAATTATTATTGTTTAGTTACTGCAATCCTTTGTAATTGAGTGGTATATATCTATTTAATTCGGATGAGGAATTGAGCCGCCTAGTTTTGTACCAGAAAAACTGATATGACAAAACTGGAAATAAAAAGTAAACCTCTACGAAAAATGCATCTTTGTTTGCTTCAAAAGCTGTTTTTACAAAATTTAGCCATAATGATAAAATAAGGATAATACATATTTTCAAGGGGGCTAATACACACATTAAAAATATCTAAGAAGTACCAATATGATTCATTTTTTTTAATAAAAACTTAACTCTTTTTTTTAATACATATACGTCGATTTGAAAACGTGTTCTCCATAAATCAAGGTATGCCATGAAAATTAATCTGTTAATTGCTCTCTTTTATTAAGGCAGATGTGACAGCGCCTCAAATTCGTACGATTAATTGCTTCAAATTATAAAATAATGAACTTTTTTTTACAAATTTTAGAAATACTCAAATTTTGCTACAAGATTATTAAACTCGACAATATGTATATATTATGAAGCGTCGTCAATTAACACCTTCAAGTGGTAACTGCTGTGAATATGATATAATATGTAAAACCTTAGAGTCTTCTAATATTATTGCCATAAACTCGCGTTGCTCCTGTAGTGATCCTTTCCAAGTTAACATGCTCCTTTTCTAACTTGTCTGCATCGTACTGAAGACGACCAATAGTCCGAAATATGTATATACGGTGGCAATTCATGCTATACACATATTTTATTATATATTTTTTTCTTTTTCTTTCTTGTGAGCTATGCCGATACCTTCTACCTATATTTTACTTATAACTTACATTAACCTATTTCTTGATGTTTGAATAACGTTTTGCATTCCTTTCCTCAGGTAGCTTAGCTTCCTCCGTGGATGTGTTAGTTGTTGCTCAGGAAACCTTAGAGTCTTCCATCGAGCAAAAAGACAAAAAAAAAAGAATCCAATCGTTATAAAAAGGAGGCCAAAATTCATAAAAGTGGCCTCTTAATATGGCGGAAATATCCGGAAATGCAAAGGCGCCAAATTTTAATTTTCCGACACTTATTAACAGTAGATATAAAATATTTTTCAGAATGTGTCTTACAGGAGAAAGTTTTAATTAAATATTAACGATAATAGTCTAAAATGTGACACAATTGTTGAAAACCTTCAATATAAATAAGATTTCATGTGACAGTTGGGACAAACAATAACATAACCGAATTTAATTTGATTTCTTAAACTAGGAAAGAAACTCTCTTTCCTTGTTTAATGTGGCCTCTCAAATTGACACTGTCTAACAATATTTTTGCCCCCACTACCTTTACATTTTCTGTTCTGTCTTTTTGCTCGATGGAGTCTTCTAATGTTATTGCCACAAATTGGTTACATTGCTCCTGTAGTGATCGTTTCCCAAGTCAGCATGCTCCTTTCTTAACTTGGCTGCACCATACTGAAGACGACCAATAATCAGAAATACGTATATACAATCTGTCGTTCGCATGATCTTTCGTTAGTAATTTCAACGTTTTAGCCGTTCGTCTTTTTATCATACCTTTGAGCAATTAACCGCTCTGTCTGTAGACCGAAATAATATAATGCTTCCAATAAATTCAAACGTGGAAGTTTTTGACAGTTACAATTTTGCAGATTTCTGTAATTAAAAAAACAAAAATAGTCATAAATAATAAAAGTACGTATATTCCGTTTAAATTTCATTAAATCTAATGTCAATTGTAAATTTACTAATCTATAAATGACTATAAAATGTTAAAGACATATATTAAAACGTTTGTATTATTGTTTTAATCGACGCGGTTTCATTTTGTTGCTAAACTGCAAGCGAATAATTTTTCACTTTTATAATTTACATTGGTTACGCGTGTTTGGTTGTATAGTAACTTACAGTCAGTTCTATTCGAAGTCAAAATTTGACCACTGTAGTAAACAATTATTTCCTTAAGTTACTAGACATTTGGGCTAAATTTACTGAAAAAAGTACAGTAAAAGCCAAATAAAGTTGCGTGCACGTCACCAAGGTCGTAATTCTATTGTATGTGTGGCTACATTTCTTTAGAAAAGTGTGTTACTTTAGTTTGCTAAACAATCGCTTCTAAAAATAACCCGATCAATAAAAATACTTTTGTAACAAAATAATGTATATACAATATAGCTTTTGTAACAAAATAATGTATATACAATATAGCTTTTTTGGATTTAAACGTCCCTCATTGTAAAATTTTGTATTGAAATGTTCATGAAGAACCCACCAAATAATATTTATTATATCATTGTAAGAATAGTAAGCAGCATATGTCAAATGCAGAAAAAAAGTGAACAGTTCGAGTCACCAAAGAAAAAGCGTTGCACTAATAAACGAGTAACAAATACAACAACTTTAAATAAAATCTCTAGCACGTAACGTTTCCATCATTGTGGTCCCAACTGAAAGATAAATAATTATTTCATGGTAATACCACTTCTTTCAAAAGATTGCTCAAACAACTTGGATGAAGGATAATCCACGACGAGAACTTATGGAATTACCTAACGTTGTTTGTAAAAGAGTACAATTCTTGAGAACTTATAAAGAAGCGAAGGATAAAGGTATATACCAATTCGTGTTTCTCGATGAAAGTTACATATTTCAAAATGGGATTATTGGTCATTCTTGGCAAAATGAAAATATAAAGAGTGAAAACCACTAAAACGAATGACAAAAGCTTTGTTGTATTAACATAAGTTGTTATATGAACATTTAAATAATATCATTGCGGATATATTATACTTTACGATGGAAATTAAACCGGATTTATAGAGGGTGCTGAATCAATGTTTTGTTCAAAAACTCAACTAACTGATTATTATGGGGAAATGAACTAGGCAAATTTCTTGAAATGGTTTGAATATCAGTTACTGCAAAACTTAGAGAATCTTTCTCTAATTGTACTTGATAATGCACCTTATCACAGTATGTTATTGCATAAAACTCTGAATACAGGATGGTATGGCTTGTGGTTTTATTTTGTATTATTTTCATTGTTTGGTAACTCAGTAATAACCTTACCACTTTTATTGTGGAATCCCTTACTTTGTGAAACCTATTCATGAATGTAATTAAGAAAAAACAAATGAAAAAATACTCATTTTTAAATTCGATTTAATATAGTGTGAAATTTGCTACCTTCATCTTTTTTGTTTACTTCAGTTCTTTTCTGCTAATTTTCATACTTCATGAACCATCTGACAACGGTGCAAATGTTCACAATGATGACGTGAACGCAACTTTATTTGGCTTTCACTGTATATTTATATTATAAAAATATTCCGATAATTTACGAAATTTTTTCATTGGCAGGGTCATTTTCTTTACTTCTAGAGGAATAAAAAAATAGCTGTATTTTCATGCAACAATCGTGGCAAATATAGTGACCCGAACGTTGCCTTTTCTTCAGACAGGAATCCAGTTCTTGACATCCTAATAGAAATAGATTTCCAACTAGAACTCAACTGTACAGAAAACCTTGTATTCCGAACTGACGCTATTTTCTTATTAATTAAATCCAAACTCTCCATATATCGTAAATTTATGCGCAAACAGATTAGAGAGAATATTTAGCATTACTGTTTGTATATCTGAGAGTTGAGATAGAGAACATACTTTACATTCAAATCAGTACGTTCGAGAATGAATGGCTTTTGTTTTCATTTAGAGATGTGTATCCCTTGGGGAAAATAAAAGGGTATTTCTAAATTAGATGTATTGGATAGCAGAAGAGAAGTGTTTTGTGTTTATATTTTCCTCCTTTTTGTTTTTGTGCAACAAAAACATTGAAATTTTAATAAGATCAAATAATAAATTGGTTTTAATTTTTTTGTTTTTTTCAAACTATGTATATACCGTATTTTTTTTCTTTTTTCTTTATTGCCATAGGTTTTTTGGCAGCTATTGTAAAATTCTCTAACCACCGTTTCTATAATTTATTCAGTAATTTTAGTTTTCTTACATTTTATAATAACTGCACAGCAGACGTTGTGGATATTGTCAATAAAATATAAACAACTTATAAATTTAATTAATATTTTATTAAAATATATTAAAAAAACGATTATACATAAAAAGTAAAATTTAGTTTTGCCTTGGTTATGATTATGGATATGGTAGATCGGGACAGGGTCCATTTGTGACCCCTTTAGACATTTAGATCTCCTAAGACGGGTTCATTACCCCTATAATACAGATAAGGTCCATAAGGATCTAGTCTTCGTGGTTTCTGAAGCACAGACTGCTTCGGCTATCTGGCATATCTGCTATTATCATCAAGAGCTTTAAATCTGAGCTCTTCCTGCCGTTTCGAGCGTCTAAGTCTTTAATAACCTTGTGGCTTTTTGTAAGTCTCTTTAAGAATAACTCCTGCCATCTCTAATATGCCAGTACAGGCACTTACAGAGGACATGGGGTCATTACAGACACGGTACCATGAGCCATGCGGCAATCCAAGCAGATGAAGATGCTGTCTGAGTATACAGAGTATAGAGTAAGCCCACTCATTACCAAATAGCATCTTTTAGATTCGAGAAGGAGTAGCTGGGATCCGAGGCTTTTGACTGATGTTAGAACCAGCATATTGATATTCTCACCTGGAGACTGTAAGGGAGCGAAATCCTTAACAGCTCTGCACATCTTTGTATACGATGCTACTTGTTTCGCCATCTGAAGGTATACCAGCTGAAGAAGCTCATTTGTAGCTAGAGCAGTATTATCATCCTTGTCCGATGGGAAATAAGCATCCAAGAGAATCCTTATGGCTTTCTTGTCAGTAGAAGGTAGCCTTCCACTGGGAAGCCTCCTTGACTTAGCTGCAGTAAAACGTGTTCTATGCTGTCACATTAGGCTCTCCAAGAGCTGTTCGTTGACTTCTTAATCAGAAACTTGTATTCCGTTTAAGCTTCCAGGAGTCCCAATGAGCAAGCCGACATTGTGCCCTAATAAGTTGTATATCCACCATTGGTATTTAATATAATTTATATATAATATATAAGAATATAATGAAAATGTCTTTGAAAATGATTGCGACTTAATGACATAAATCAAGATATTACTAAAGATATTACTAAAAATTATGTAATAAGACTCTGAACATGGAACACGAGAATCGTACAAAAAAAAATAAAAATTTGTCAAAAAGAAATTAAAAGAGAAGTCAGCAATGTAAAATTGACTTATATTTATATAATGTTAAGTAGATTTCACGGAAGCCTTAACGATAAAAACAATAATGATAGATTAATAAATAAATGCATATTAAGACAAACATTTAAATATACAACGCCTATAAAAATAACTTAGGCAATATATAGACCTAAAGAAGATAAAAAATGAATTAAAAAAGTTGCTTTTGCAAAGAATTATCTCTAATAATAGAACCATCCAAGCAAAAACATTAGTTGCAGATAATTTTAATAAAAGGCTAGCTGTAAAAGATAGATGATTGGTTGCTGCTAATTTAAATGAAAAAGTAGTAATAAGAGATAGATGGTATACCTATGTAGTTATTAGAATATCTTGACTTATTGACAGTATGGCAAAAAAGAAGAAAAATGCCGTATGGCAAAAGAAGTGGTGAACCAGGTCAATGCGTAAGAAACTCATTTGAGACATATAAATTACCAGGTTTGGACGGGATTTACCCAATACTTATAAACAAGGGAAATAATCTTGTGTACAAAAATTATGTATGATTCTAAAAGCTAGCTTAGGACTGAAGTACATACCAAAAGAATGGAGACTAGAAAGGATGGCTTTTATACCCGAACATGACAAAACTGGACAGGAAACAGCCAAGACAAACGGCCGATATATAAGTTGTACTTAAGACTCCAGAAAAACTGCTTGATAGGCATAAAAAAAAAATGGTGTAAATATTATTTTACTATCTTGTATAGAGAGTGGAATACGTTCTGGAAAACCAAGAGGGGATATTGGTCTAGGAACCTTGAGTTTTAACCTTGTTTAGCCTTGAGCCTCTTTAAGAAATGGGGAACTCCTTTTTTTAACGGAGTTATGGGAGTGTGAGAAACGTCAATTAATCGAAACGCGAACTAAGAAGCAGTACACTACCAAGGAGCAGGAAGAAAAGAAGGTGGTTTGTATGTGTGATCGATAAAAATCGATAGAACGCACAAGAAGAAGTGGTATCTGCCTAGCATGCCGTGTAAAGTACTTCAGGGGTTACCAGCCATATAGTAGGAACGGCTCTTTATTAGCGTTAGTGGCGCACAGTCTTTATCTGCGATGATAGATGAGGATTGTTTCAAGAATTTCAAAATACTCATCAGAAAGTTCAGGTCCAGCATTGTGTAGAAGTTTAGCTGGAGGAAATGGAACTTTCTTAGTGGGGTACCTGGTGAGTATTTGCCATCTATGTGTACAAGGCGTCGTTTCACACGATCCTAAATGATATAAACGATAAAGAAGAGACAATAACATTTAACATGGAAAAGGAATATAATAACACGCTACCTTTCCTGGATGTTTTAATCTCTAAGGTGTATGGAAAACCAACACACACCTATAGATATTTAAATTTCAAATCAAATCACAATATTAATATTAAAAAGGGAATCAATTAATCCTTATACGATAGAGCCAACATTTCTTCTAACGAAAATTCGTTCTTGGAGGAGAAACATTTGTTAACATCTGTTTTATTAAAGAATAATTATCCTTTATCGTTTATAAATAAGTCAGAGAATTTTAAGAAAATAACAATACCATACATAGGGGAATTATCAGAAAAACTTAAAAAGATAGGAAATAAATTCAACATTTCAACAACATTCAAAACAACAAACACGTTGAGATCTATTTTGTCCAAAACCAAACCTAACAATGAACAAGAAAGGACAGAGAATTACATTTATTAAATACCTTGTGAATGCGATCAGTTTTATTTAGGTGAAACAGCAAGGCCATTAAATGTTAGAATAAGTGAACATCAATCTTATATTAAAAATGGAGAATTTGATAGATCTCAAATATGTAAACACGCATGGGATACTGAACATAGAGTTCAATGAAATAATTCAAATGTAGTCCTAAAAAAAACGGATGGTAAAAAAAGAAAAATCAAAGAAGCGGCTCTAATTATGCTAAATGAGACCAATTGTGTCACAAATTCCTCGTCAGAATGTAGTAGGATCGGGTTACCCATATTGAAAGAGGAATTTATTAATAAGAATAAGAAAATACGAGTATTAGTAAGTCAGTAACATATAGAGGATACATGATTTATGTTTTTTAAATAATGAAACATATAAAAATCAGAATTTGGTGTTTATTGAAGGTAAAGTAAATGCACGACCGAACACTTACCATGTCGAGATAGTATTATGAGGTTTTTTTCCTGGTTTTTCCCTCATAATTTACTATGAAATCACTAACAGAAGAATTTTACTGTCATCATGTCATGTATTTGTGTTTCTAAAGACGAATTACATGCTATGATTTTCTGACGGATATTCTCAAGTTATAGTTGATTTCATGTAATCGAATGAACTATCTTATAAGTAAAGTCGTCCCAGGAGCGCAACTCAACAATATTGGCAATATCATTTTAAAGTCGTCTACTTTAAAATGCATATTGTATATCTGAATTGGCAATAGAAATGAGTCAGATAAAATTAAATTATTAAAAGAATTTTTCACTAAGTAACAAAAAAACAAAATTTGTTTAATTTACTGTTTGTATTTTGAGAACGATTTCCGAAGAGGAAATTGAAACGTCAATAAACGTATTTTTATCTTTAATTGTGGCTTATTCCCAGTTAAATCGTAATGAATTTCAATACTTAGATAAAATTAGGAGCAGCACCGGATAGGCAAAAGTAAGTAGGGAAGTAAGTGATTCCCAGTAAAAAAAAAACACCTGTTTTTCTATGACACACGGAAATCGGGGAAGGTCTTACTAGCAGAAAATATGCTACATTTTTTTTTCCTAAGTTAATGGCACTGGCAAAGCCAAAAGGCCAGTCATGTTTTCTCATAGTTTTATCATTCATTTCTATTGTTTACATTATATACATATTAATATTATATACAGTTAAATTAAGAATATTTTTAGTGTGTTAGTACATGCCTAAATATTTTCAATACTTATTTTTTATTTTTATTGTTTTTTTTTTTATCGTTCTATATACCATTGTAAGTTTTCTTTTATTTTTATTGTTTATTTCTTTTTATTAGTATTATTTTTTTATTGTTTAATATTATTAATTTATTAGTTTGCTTTTTTTTTTGCTTTTTTTTTCATATTGTTTTTTTTTTGTTTTTTTTTGTTTTTTTTGTTTTTTTTTGTTTTTTTTTTTTGTTTTTTTTTGTTTTTTTTTTCGTTTTAGGCTTACAAATATATTCATATTTCGCAATACTGCTTACAAAGTAATATTATTAGATTTTACATACTGATATATGATGTTGTAGATACTATTATCCTCTAATGTCAATAGATTTGAAACATTTATTGGAAATTTCATTTTGTACAATATTACATTTTGATAAAACTTATCAATTTCTATTTTTTTTTAAAGGACATTCTAAAAGAATATGTTGTAAATCGGCAATTTCATCACATAGACATTTATTATTATCTAACAAACCTATTTTATGTTTATACGCTGGAAATAGTGCATGATTGCAGCGCATTCGACTTATTATCCGAATATTGAACGATTATGTGTATTCTCAAACCATGGTTTGTCCTTATTTTTGGTTGTATATTCTTAAAAAACTGTCCTTTGTCTCCACATTTATATTTAATCTGCCACTTTTCCTTAAGTTCCTTTCGAAAAATTGGAATAAAATCAGATTCTGGTATTTTTAAGAAAATATGCTACAGGACACTTCACTCTTAAGTAGCGTTTATCCATTAAGAAAATATCAAAATAAACAACAGAAATGAAAAATACATGCCAAACTGAAATATAATATTTAGGATTACTAATACTCCCATGGTATTACGTGTGACTTTTCAATTTTTTAGCGAAATTATACAAGTTACAAAAAAAATCCACAACCCACTTCCTATCGTAATGAAGCCCTAAAGTTCTTTTTTATTATTTTTTTAAGGATTTTTAAATACAACTTTTATATTAAACGAATTACAAATTTTTTTAGAATTTTAAGTAAAATAATTTCAGGAGAAAAACACTTTGAAGTTACGCATGGAGTCTCCAGTGACCCAGTGGTATTACGAGAGTTAATATTGTCTCATTAACTTAAGAGGATAAACAATAAATGTACTTACTGTTGCAGTTACCTATTGGCGGCATTCTAAATCCTGACAAAGGATCAGAGGCAGCAAACGGAAACGGCCTCTGGCCAAAGGCAAAGTGAAATTGTTGTTGTTGTCCTAGAAGAGAGAGCACTATATTAGACTAATTTACTGTCCATATTTACTAAAAATAGAAATAAAACATTTTCAGTTTATAATTCGTCAGATATAAGAAATTAATGTATTTTTCGTAAGTCATAATTGAAGACACAAGTGCAGAAAGAATCTATCTGTTTTTAAATAATCAGTTTTAGGCTCAGAAGGTTTTAACTACTTAATTTGCTTCATAAGATTTATTTGGCTTAAAAACGTTTTAGCAGCAATTTAATTAGAAGATAAAGATCTATATACCAAG